GTTGTCGCCGAAAGTCACTCGACTAGTGAAGCTGGATTCCGGTAGGTAGTCGATCGGAGTCATCATCCGGAATGTCGTCGTTGAACGGCCGAGAGTAGTATCTGCGGAAGGGTTTAAGTCGGTCTACATTGACCGTCACCATCTTGTCTGGGTGCATCGGTATGTCGACTTTGTACCTGTTCGACCCCATCTTTCGGTCAATCCGGTAGGGTCCATGCCAGTGGCATGCTAGTTTGACTCGGCGAAGTATTTGTACACCGCCGTCTGGTCGTCATAAAGGACGGGATTCTGGCCTGACTTGGCCTTCGCGTTCTTGTTCTGTCCCGCAATGAGTCGCTGCTCAACCAGCGAGTGGGTCTACGTCCAGGACGCGGCTAGGCGTCGTTTGTATTGCGGCAGATCGTCGGATTTCCATGCAACGTCCACGTTGAGGAAAGCTAAGTCGAAGGGTAGCGTGGGGTCGCGTCCAAATAGACAGAAGTAAGGCGAATCTCCCAGGGCTTCTTGATGTGAGGTGCGGTAGGCAAACAGGAGTCGGGGCAGATTTGAGGGTGATGGCCATCACGTCATTCCATTTCGGGGCTAGGAATGGTCGACAACAAATGACCAGGCTCCGAAACGTAGAACTTCTAGCCTAGAGACTCTTGACGTCCCTCTAGAGGGACGCCTTCATGTTAGATAGCTACATCCTTATCTCTCTTTAACCTGCATGTTGGAAGTCACCTACTTCCTTTCCATCCTGCGCTACTCTTGGTGAAGCCGAGAATATCCGACCCTCAAGTTCAACCCCCGGAACTTCCCTTTTAATTTGTGCGCTGACGCCTTCCCCCGTGACCGTCACAATCGGTGTAATTTTCCGATTCCCTGACACGGCCAAATCCCACGCACGTTCTGCCGGCATGTTTCTCGGTAGAGAGGCGATATCGAAATCGTACAAACGAATCTTTGTTATGCATGCCATACATGGTGGAATCCAGACCCCATCGACGACGTCGATTCCAGTGTATTTCATATTGGCGACATGGAGCAATGTCCGAGTTGGCTCGGTTGCAAAAGAATCGACTAGGCGGAAAGTTTAGGCTCGGTCGTGGTACGCGAGGCCTTGGTGGTAGTCGGATACGGGGTACCCGTACGCATGGTTGCCGTCGACTCGGTGGCAGTGATCGAAGATGGCTTGGCACCACACCAAATCATGCCATACGAAGCACTGTTGCTGTCGCAGTAGTCCTTGCCGTGGGACAAACACTCTCTCGTGAAGGGATAGAAGCACCCAGTGCAACTGCCGCACTGAGCAGGACGAGGAGGCGCCGGGGTACGATTGATCTTGGGGTACACGATGTTTTCGGCGACGTTGCACATGCCTCTGCCCCCCACACCGCGCTGGAGCCGGATGTAGCCGCGTTCGCCCCATGTGTCGCCCCACGAGTTGCGGAGCTTGTACGACTTCTCGTCATAGCCCACGGCGACGACGGCGTGGTCTGAGCTCGACCCAGGGCAATGCGTGATCACACCCTCGCGGTAGTTTTTCCAATCGATGTTTTGAGGGAATAGACCGGCATGCGTTGCATTTCGCCCTGCCGCCACGGTTGTCCTCCTTTGGCATGGTTGCAGTCGGGGCACTTCGAGACGTACTCCTTACAATCCTGCTGCCAGTCCAACCAGTAGTCGGTTCGGCGAATTCGCTCACGCCTCTTAGTGAATCCAATGTGCCCAGCAAACTGAGAGGCATGACTCACGTGAAGACCTCTTCCATCAGGGTGAAAGGGATCACCGGTACCACGAGGAGTTCGGGGTTCCGCAATGGCGTCTCGTGAGTAACGTAGCGACATACGATTCCTTGCCTGATCGTGTACTGTTGAGCGTTCCGCGTAACGAGTTTGAGGAGATGCGTATCGATCGGTATCGCGCCATCATCTAGGTACGCTCGCAGCGCCACGATCCAAGGGTCTTTGGCCTGTTCGTTATACAGCCTCGGGGAGGGTCGTCCTCGCCGGTCGAACAGTTCGATAGGGTTTGCCCTCTTTGGTTGAGCATCTGATTCTGCCACATGCTCTTGAGGAGGCGTGGTACTAGCATCTTCCAACGTGGTACGACTGGTCAACTGCTTAACGCTGCGTGCCATCACAGGGCACGCAATTCGGGAGAGACCATCTGCTGCACCATTGAGTTCGCTCGGCCGATGGATTACTGTGTAGTCAAGTCCTTGTAGTTCCATGGCCCATCGCGCGAGTTTGTGGTGCCTCACCGAGTCCCCGTGTTTTTTTAACAGCCAAGTGAGGGCTTCGTGATCCGTATAGATGTCGAAGTGTCGTCTGTCTATGTAGGGTCGGAATTTGCGTGTGGCCCAGACTACTCGCCAACATTCGATCTCAAAGATTCCCATGTCCTTGGTGATCCACTTATGTTTTGCCTTCGACAGGGACAGACTGGCATATGCGATGACTCGGTTCTTTCCCATCTGTTTCTGCATGAGGACGGCCCCAACAGCGATGTGACTCGCGTCCTCCCAGATCGAGCTGGGTAGATCAAAGTTCAGGTGTGCTAGTATCGGGGGCGAAACCAAACAACGCTTCAGTTTGTTGAGTGCGACCTCACAGTCTGGTGACCATGTAAAGGTGTCTTCGGTCATCTTGGCCGTCAGAGGGGCGGCAATCTTGGAGAAGTTTCGAACAAAACGTCTGAAGTAGCTGGCTAACCCAAGGAATGCGCGCACTTCGCTGGTATTTTTCAACTTCTGAACTCTAAGTACAGGCTTAATCTCTTCAGGGTTCGGCAATACGCCTGCCGAGGTGACGATATGTCCGAGAAAGGGGACTGACGAGCGACCCCACTTGCATTTGGACATCTTGAGTATAAATCTGGCTTCTCTGAGCTTCTCCAAGACTTGGCTGAGCCGGACGAGGTGTGATCCAAAATCCTCGCTGAAGACATGCAGTCGTCGAGGTATACCAGGCAAGTACTCCATTTGCAGTCGATCAGGATGTGTTCCATCAGTTGTTCGAAACACGGAACTGCATTGCACAGTCCGAACGGCATCACCAGCTATTCGTACAGTCCATATTTGCATGTGAATGCGGTCTTCTCTATACTGTCCTTGGCCATTGGAACGCTCCAGTAGCCCGAGGCAATATCCATCGTTTAGAAGAGTTTGGCCCGCCCAAGGACATCCAAGAGATCGTCGATTCTTGGCATGGGGTCGGCGGTAGTCTAAACAAAATCGGATGGATCCATCCGGCTTCTTAATCATGGGCACCGGGCTGGCCCAAGGACTCTTCGATGGCCTTATCAGTCCCAGATCCAGGTATTGGTTGATTTCGGCCTCCATGATGTCACCGTCTGTCTTGGAAGTGCGATAAAGTGCACTCCGGGTTTAGGGGGTATCGCTCTTGTCGATGCTCGACGAGGTGGGTACGGCCAGTGGCTTTGGAGGTATCGACAAAGTGTCCGCGAACTTCATTAGGGTCTTGGGTAGAAGCTCGCGTTGCTCGATACTAAGGCTGGAGTCCACCCAGTCGATGGGTAATTCCTTGGCTTGCGCTGCCGTCGTTTGCACCGGACAGGCAAGCCCATGGCCCTCCATTTGAGTGAGGACCCTCCCGGGTTCGGTGTCTGCGTTGAAGGCAGCACCATACTCATGTGGCGACTGCTGTGAACCCCCAGATTTGTTCGTACGATCTAGGTGCTCGACACAGTCATCGGGGAGAAAGGTCAAAGTACCCACGATAGTCCGCACAGGTAGGTGGACAGGCGTGTCAAATGGGTTCATAACCTCCAACAGGACGTTCTGGCGTCGTACGGTACACAGCTGCTGCAGACTGAAGCGGACCAGCGGCTAAGGGTTCCATAAAGAAGGTAGATTAGTTTGGTAGGCCCAGCCCAGCTGTGCAAAAGATCCATTTTACGACGGGCCGGTACGGTAACAGCGACCGCAACAACAGTCGTACCACTTGGGTGAGGGTCCAACACTGACTCAGGTATCTGATCGAGCGACAGCGTACAGGTAACGACGGAAAAATTCACCCAGTGGTACTCATTCATATTCTTGGAATTATAATATGGTATGGGCATGGCATTCTGAACACTCGAGCAAAATCCCATTATTCTAGCCAATGGGTGACATTTTTGGCCACGACAAAGAACATGATATGATACACGTTCAAATCACGGCCAATGAGTTATATAGTCTTGGATTTTCTATCAGCGATGGCCTTTGACATTAATCTCTTCCGGAAAATATGTCAAATCAACTATGCACCTGAGGGTGGATTAATATCCATTCTCATTCCCCGACGATGATTCATTGTAAGTAACCTTTTGAAGGGATCCATTGTGGCCAAGTCGTTAATGGCGCAAGGTAACACCGCTGTGCCCTAAGTTTGATTCCCTGAATCCCAGTCTACGTCAGACGATAAGGCGGTTCTTTCTGCGCTAGATTTCCTCATAGAACGCTATACTCACCACATATGAATCCATACCCTCTATTGGGACAACAGTATGGAATGATGGTTAGGTTGCAGCGAAAACGTTGTGGTAAAGAATTTTAGAAGTATTAGTTGGCAATATATATGAAAATGTATAAAGTTCACAAAATATCTCACCGCAATCTAAGATTGAGCGAGTCCACAGCACTAATTCATGATTGGCTCGTTCAATCTGGCGCTACATATCGTAATTGCTAATGCGCAATGACGATTTGGGCAGCGCGAATGGAATCGATTGCAGCAAAGTAAGGTATGGTGAAGAACAAAGAGAACATCATTACCAAGCACCTGGTCATTGCTGGTGCACTCTCACAGTAATTGCGTTCCACAGCAATTGCATTTCAAAGTAGTTGTTTAGTCGTGAAATTTCTTGTCGTCGTCGTCGGAAATGGCTTGTTTTGTCCAATAAAAAACAGTAGCAACCTTGGCATGCAATTTAATTACGACCACAACTCATCATGAATTAATATATTTCCAATACAAATTTCAAGATAACAAGGTAGTACCACTGGGTGAATTTTTCCGTCGTTACCTGTATTGTTGTTCAGATTGATTACGGCTCCCAGGTAACGTAGCAAGTCAATGCCGACGATACAGTCCGTGAGCGCTGTGGACATCACCCAGAACGGAAATTCCATTGTCCGTCCGGCTAGTATGACGGAAAATTTGGCGCGCCCAAGCATGTCGAGCTTGGAGTTGTCGGCTGAGACAAAATCAGCCTTGGGTTGTTTAAGAGGTGGACATCCTAGGCGTACCCAACACATGGCGCTGATGAAGCTACTCGTAGCACCAGTGTCGATGAGAGTGGTAGCCTTGGAGCCGTTTACGTAAGCATACGAACGGATCTGTTGCACGATGTGACCTGGAAGGGCAGGCTAGACTCATACGCGCCAGAGTGCGACATGACCGCGTCGGATCTGAGAACTGGTCGTCACAGTATGCCGGGTCGGCTTTAGGAACACGGCGATGGACGTTGCGGTTAATCCGAGCGGTTGTAATGTTTGTGTCCAACACCGGGTCGGGCGTTCGTGCTGGGTCCATCAGCGCACAAGGTGTAGTTTCGTCGCATGATGAAGGCGGTGAACTGGACTCCAACTTGGGCGAACGCGAAGCACGCGTCAGCTCTTGTCGGGTCCCGTCAGTGTGGTTTGCCTGTGTAAGTACAGTACTGTGCTTGCGGTGCATTGTTGTCGAGGCTTGGGCGTCAGGACAGGGCCCGTTCGCTGGGTCCTCGAGTTAGGATCTGGAGGGTGTGCCGAGAGTTCTACATAGGTGTTTGCGTCCACCGAGGTTGCCGAAGCGACACAGACGAAACTAGATATGGATGCATTGTTGTGGAGCACTTCATGGAAGTACTGAGGGCGGCTAGTCTTGTGTTTTGTCGAATCCACCAGGGCGCCGGCTCCTCAGGCGTGGAGCGCGGGCTTCGAAGTGCAGCGCGACACCGTGTGGCCGGGGAGCTTGCAGTAGTGGCAGATCTCAGGGTGCTCGCCCGTGTAGTATCCGGATTCATGGCCAAAGGTTGCAACGCACGTGTTTACGGTGGCAGTCAATCGATCCATGCCCAGCGCGATCGCAACGCCCAAACACCTTTACTCCACTTGAGGTGACGTCATCGGGTTTGGTCGAGATCACGAAAGGAGCATAGCCTAGCTGAATCCGCTTGCGTTTTGGTTGGGCTGAGGCCTCATGACACGTGGTAAAGTAGACTGCGCTTGAACAGGTGCGTAGGCTGCGTACTGTGGCGGCTGAGTCGGCTGGATTGGTGCAACACATCGAGGCGAGGCGTTGGACTTCATGAACGCCTCCAGAAGAGTTTGTTGAACGCGGTCGGCCTTCTCAATGTGGGCAACAAAGGCTTGCTGTTGTTGTTGCTGCGTCATCGAGCGGCAAGGAGCTTTTCAAAAGTTGACAGATCCTCGATTCCGAACTTGGATCCACGACGGTGGGTGTTCGGTGACCGAGGGGGCGTGCGCGATGACGAAAGTGTGGACGCCATGGTCGAGGCCGACTCCGATTGCACCATGCGTGGAAAGTTCGGCGGGCTGTCCAGGCGGATATGACGCGATCGAAGTAGCTTCATGCAGTCCGAAATCGTCGCGAGTTCCTTATCAGTGTTTTCCAGGCAGGATTCGATTCACACACCTCGTTGAAAGATCGTCACGCCTTGAAGAGCCGGGATGTCGATCTCGTCCAAGATAGTTTGGTGTCGAATGGCGTACGCCCGCAATGATTCGCCTTCATATCGGCCGAACTCTTAGAAGAGATGATCGACCATCTCGCGCGTCGTGCGGCAACAGAATTGGTTCATAAAGTCAGCCAAGATCTCGGTCCAAACATCTCTGTTCTTGGTCTTAGAGTAGGAAATCCGCTACTTGTTCAGATTGGGGTGGGTCTTGTCAGCGCTGAGCTTGAGCCCCAAGAGTAGCTTGCGCTCTACTTCGTCAAGTTGGCAACGAGCCGCTTGATCCGGGAGTTGCTTGATAAAGAATTCGCATTGGGCTTGTTCGTTGGGACTGAGGTGTATTTCACGGCGATTCCGAGGGATTTCGAGTGTTAGGAGGCCAGTACCGCGTGTTTAACGTCCTCGAGCTCAGTCGTCACCTTAGATATAGCTGGTTTGAGTTCCGCGATGAGGGTCGGAAGTCGTCTGATTGATCAAGCTGGGAACTGCTGCTGGTGTGGATCGGGCAGTGCCCGAAGGTGAGGCTTTTGCTTCGAGTTTGTCGAGTCGGGCAGCAAAGTCGAGTTGTTGCTGATCGATTCGTGTCTCCAGAAGCTGGATTCATTCCTGGAGTAATCCTTTCTCGTTCGAGAGAGGGGAAACAAGGTCTTGGAGTTGGGTATTCGAGTCCTGGAGGGCAGCAATGTGTCGGCGGGATTCGTTGAGGCGCATTGTTTGAGGTCGCGTCCGAGTGATTCGACGCGATCGCAGAGGCTCGAATATGTGGTCGGGATGTGAACTTCCTAGGCTCGGCGTCCGCTCTCGAGTTGCTGTTGCAAGGAGTGAGCCAAATCGGAAATTGCTATCTTTTGTGGGTTCACCGCAACTTCAACTAGATCGCGAGGTGTGTAGCGGTCACGAAGTTGGTGAATGTTGAATCTCCGGACACAACTGTGGAGTCAGAGTAGTGGCCTCAGGATATTGCTGGCGAAGTTGAAACACCTCCTGGTGCAAGTTTGATAACTGCGTGTTGAGGTCCTAAAGGGTATTGTGTACACCTATTCACGAGCAAGTTGGTGTTTTTTTTTCAACCAAAGTGGATTGGATGAAAAATATAAAATATTACAAGTCAGGGATTGATGATTGGTTCAATTCAAAGTGGTTTTATTCCTATCAATGTGGTTCAAATTGGTGGGAAACTTGCGCGCGCAGAGATCCTTGCTTGCCTCGCATGAATTGACAGGGAATACGACATTGTGCAATTCGTTCCCGAAGTGAGATGGCTGAGGCTCAGCAGACAAAGCCCAAGCGTTATGGCCCGTCCGTGGATGAGAAGCGCCGCCTTCTCCTTGCGTACCAAGAGGTGGACGACTGGCTGTTAGTGGCGAAACACAACGAAATTCCTGTGATAACTGCCCGCCGCATCGTTTCGTCTGGACGTGTCGAAAACAATCCCCGTGGCGGTGCGCGCCCTCAGACAACCATGGTCACCCCTTACATGCGAGAGGCAATGTACCGATACATCGACAAGAACTGTCAATACACACTCGGTGCGATTCAACATTTGATCAAGATTGACTTCGATGGAGTCCACATTTCCCTTCAAACCATTAGCCGACACCTATTGGGCATACTGTACTCTGTGAAATGGTTCGAGCCATTCACATGCAATAGCGACCTGAACGCAAGATTTTTGCGGAAAAACTCATTCAACATCAACACGCCGGCGACTATATCGTGTACTTCGACGAGACCAACTACAACATGTACTGCCATCGCTCCGTCGGACATGCAAACAAGGGAGATCATGCTGCAACTGTTCTTCTGCCGTCAAATGGCTCCAATCTGCAAGTGCAATGCGCTGTTTCGGCCGAAGAGGGCCTTGTATTCCACCGCCTTGAAAGAGACAGCATCAAGATGGAAAAGTACGCTACATTCGTTGATGAAGTGTACAACGCCGTCAAGCGATCTGCAACTTGGTGCAACAACTTTGTTGGGAAGAACGTAGTCATCGTGTTTGACAACGCGCCCGCCCACTCGCAAACAGAAGAGCGCGTTGTCATGCACGATGATCTCGTTCTTCTCCATCTTGGTCCGTATTCGCCGATGCTCAACCCTATCGAGAGCTGTTTCAGCGTATTCAAGGCGAAGATCAAGAACTACTTGGCAGATCTCACAGACTTGATGTTTCAACGACGCGAATATCCCTCTTACCTTGAGAGTCGTATGCGGTTGCTAAAGGCTGCTGCTCACGAGTGTCTTCCCTGTATCACTCGGTCCTTGGTCGTCCGTGAGGCAATGTTTTGTCAACGCAACGTGGAGAAGGCTCTTCGTCTTGAAGATATGTGTTACGGAAAGTGAAGTGAACCAGTTTGGATGGAAAAGAACCACATTGAATTGGAAAATTGTCATTTTTATGTACACACTTTCTTAATTTAAAACATTTGGCTTTTTATATTACCAATTTGGTTGCAGAAAACCACGAACTTGCTCGTGAAAAGGTGTAGATCGTCGTTCAAGAGACTCGCCCTTTCCGAAATCAGACGAATAGAGTCCGATAAGTTCACCGACTTGAGGTTCTCAGTTGCCGACAAGCGACGCGCCAATTCGCCAATTCTGTAGTCATAATCAACAGTCGAGGTACGCAATGTCGAAAATTGGTCGGTGGTTTTGCGAGCGAGGTTTGAGATTTCTGGATGCAGGGGTGCGACTTCATCCGAAGGGCTTCGAGGCCCTCACTGTCGCCGATCGAGGGATCCATTCCGTGACCCCAGGTGGAGTCCAAATAGAACAGGAAGTCGATCGATTTTTCGATAAGGAAGGCATCGGGCCCCCCTTGCTCAGCACGGCTGCGCTTTTCTGGTTCGCGTTGCTCGGATAAGTTTGCGTGATGTTGGAATCGATAATTCAAGTCTCGTTTACGCTGCAGTGCGCGCGACGAGTTCACGTCAGGGGCACTGACGTCCATCGACGTCAGCTCCGTTCGTCCCATAGGTATCTCACAGCCGTCGGCTTCGAGGCGAGGCCGGTCAGGAGAGGGATCGTTTAGCCTTCCTGTGTCCATGCTTTCGATAGTCTTGATTCGGCAGGAGAGTACCCTGCTTGTCCACCATAAACGTGACGGTCACGGGGGAAGGCGCCAGCGCACAAATTTAAAGGGAAGTTCAGGGGACTGAACTTGAAGGTCGGATATTCTCGGCTTCACCAAGAGTAGCGCAGGATGGAAAGGAAGTAGGTGACTTCCAACGTGTAGGTTAAATAGAGATAAGGATGTAGCTATCTAACATGAAGGCGTCCCTCTAGAGGGATGTCAAGAGTCTCTAAGCTAAATGTTCTACGTTTTGGAGCCTGGTCATTTGGTGTCGACCATTCGGGGCCGAATAGGGATGACTTCATGGCCATCATCGTTATACGATACAGTCCCATCGATTTGTGAAGTGGCTGCAGTTGGAGCGGTCAACGTAATTCTTGTTCTCATTGCATCGCACATTTCAAAACGCGTGAACATGGGCATGAGGAGGGGCGACTTGGACTTGACGTGGTTGGAAGAAATGACTTCCCGAGCAATCGTCCCTGAACCATGAATGTCACATGGCTGCCGTGCATCATGTCATGCATCTACACATCACCGGTTATAATCAAGTTCCTTGTGGAGGCAGGCGCTGTAGTGATAGCGCAGGTACATCAATATGGCGCTGGTGGACAGTACGGCGCCGAAAGACAAGCAAGAATACCTTTCCACGCATGCTGCTCTGGTGTTTGATTTTGCCCGCCGCGCAAATCGGGTTTTCGAGGTGTCCACACGCACTTAATTATTGCGCACTTACTTCCTCTGTTCCATATTACTGCCGACATTTGCATACTGTATCACACTTTTTCCATATTACTTGTGACATTTCAATCCGATTGGTCAACAAATGAGAAAACTACGTGTTATTGGTTATATACCTGAATGGCCACTTTGCCAAGCAGGACACGAGAACGGAGGAAGTATATATGGAGTGATTTTCAACGGGCGTCGTTGATAGAACTTGTGGAACACGAGGCAGAATCGTGCCCGACGATGGAAACTTCAGACGAGATGACGATATCGTTGGGCTTGCAGCCACGGGCATGTATTGGTTTTGCAGCCTAGCTTTGCGCCGACAGGCCTCTCCAATTCGAGCGAATGGTGGCAATTGTCGCGGCAGGCATTGCCGGTGTTACGCGAGTGGGGCGGGCGAGGTTTGTGCCGCTTTGACTGCGTCGAGTTGAATCGCAATGTCAATCGCATTGTTGATCTTCCGCTGCATGGCGTCCAAGTCTTGCGGTCGAATGGGTTCGGACCCTCGATTGTACAGACAAATGTCGCTCCACAAATTGTCGGGGTCGTGGGCGCGCACGAGCGCTTTGGATCGGCGGCGCTGTGCCGACACGTGGGTCGGCAAGTACTTCAGTAACTTTTGCCGACGCCCTTCCATGTCTGGAATGTCGGCCAAGTGGTCTGAACGCGGGTTAAACACGTACCTACGACGTGTCGAGTGTAACTCGCTGAGATTATGATGTGTACGTACGCGCCGTTGATGTAGAGCAGGGCGTGTTGGTACCGAAGGTCTGGAATCCACTGCGCCAAGTCCCCTATGCAAGAAATGAGCTTCTTGTGCCATTTGCCGCCAACAACTGCTGCCGCCATGCACGCACGATAAACGCGATCCATGTGACGCACACTGCGACATTTTTCATCATTCCACATGAGGCACGGGATCCATCCATGAACGTTGCGACTCCATCGACCTCGACGTCCACGTGAATCGTCCAAGCAGCGCCAACTGCAGGACCAAACACGATGCGCACGGCTTGTCCGATGCGTGTCGTTCATTGAGAGAGGAAAAACGACAGCGAGCCTGCACCGCAACGTACCGCAGAGCGTATTGGGATGGTTTACCATATCTCCAGGTCGCGCGGCCCCGGAATTTGCCCATGGCGAGAAAAAGTACGGCGTCTGGCTCAATTCGTACGCGAGCCAGAACAATTCTTTGTCCCCGTGGGTAAAAATCGGCGTGTGGCGGTGGATGTCGACCGTGACTAAGTGAAACAGGACGTCCATGGCCACCGACGCCTGCAATCACACTACGTGCCAGACGATCGACCTACGCCTCGACCGTACCCTCGATTTATGAATGAGCGTGATAGACGAGTCTTGTTCGTGGGCTGCATCTCCCTTCCACGCGAGCGAATTGAGCAGCATGGACGACGGATTGTACTCGAGGTTGAATTTTGCATAGTCGAAGGTTTCGACGAGCGCATGCAAGGCCAGCCTACCGCGGCCATCGTGACGCCGCGACGGGAGATTGTACATAAGTTAGCAACGTACTGTTTTGTGCGATCGGGGAATTCGACGATGTCGGTGAGGAACATTTGGATGATGATTTCGCGGTCGCGGAAGAACAGGGTCCCAGTGTCTCGATACCTACAAAACGTCTGCGTCAAGCATCGCCCGAAAGCCAAGTAAGGTAGAACGGAATCGAGGGCGAGAGATATTTCATGATGCCTCGAAGGGGCCGACGTACCCTTGGATATCCCAGAGAAGCGCTGGATCGTGGAAGACCATGACGTCAGTGTCCATCAGCATCACGTGATTCAACTTGGAGTGGATCAGCGCGAGGGGCTTGAGCCAGTAGCTTCGGAAAGATGGCACCTGGTCCTCGCGGAGCTTACCTGACGCCACCATGTCGGTGCAGACGTCGATAAACTGGACGGTCGGGTCCACAGCCAGGATCGTTGCTCTCGACAGCGCCGAAATCTCGTCGGCCCCACAATGGTACATGTGGATCACGTCCTTGTTGCCAAGATGTCGGAGCTCCTGCACTAACGACAGAGCCATCGGAACCATGCCGTCGTGCAAGCAAATGACGATGCCCCGCGACGAGTTCCCTGGGATTGCATCATGCTGTCGGTGCTCCGCTCGCACAGACACTTCGCCCATCGACGACCAGGTCCCTTTCAAAACAAGGACAGCCATCGTACACCACACGGCAAAGCCGACAAGGAGAAGTGCTCGTGGTTGCATCACTGATTTGAACGTCCATGACGTCGTCGGCGGTGCCATGGTACTCCGACGTGATGGGCACGATCGAATGCTGCACACCCATTGGCCCGATTCCTCCAACATAACTCAAAATTGCACAAAAACGCCGAATATTTTGTCAATTTCAGAGCTACGGAACCTCAAATCTCGACCAAAACAAAGAACTCGATTGCTATCTCACTGCTCGCAGTTCACGTAGGCTAGGCTGTGCAACGGTGATTTCTACTCTGTTTGTGGACCTGAAAGCACGCCGAAAGCGGGGGCTTATCAAGATGGTCGTGTGCTATGTGTCGGAAAAATTAATCCTTTGTTGCATATATCCAATTAATTTGCCAAGAATATCGAACTGAAATACACCAACAGAGGGGGCTCGTGAAGACGGTCAGGAGCAATTTATCGAACTCGAAAAATCAAAATATTTGCACGGCGTTGACAAATATCCACAAAAGTATCCAACAATGCTCATCAGCGCACAACACACGATCGGATGCCGCCATTGGCATCGCCGACCTCGTCCGCCCCCGACAGGGCGCTACCATCTCAAGATGGAAGTTGGTTCGCAAACACACGAACATTTTTTCAAGTGTTCTCGGGTGCAAAGAACGCCGACGAGGAGCAAACACGACCTTGCAAAGGCTGACACAACAACGTCCGAGGTTGGCAAACCGAGACACGTGCATTTCTCGAGCAGGACCAGGGGTCATTGCGTTACCGTTGCAACGACTGGGATGCAAAAGCCAACATCCCAGTCCCCACGGACGCAATCGGAAGCAATGGAGCTTGCTATGTTTGGAACACCCATATAGGGAATACGTGTTCGTTGTGAGTATGGCAACACACGAGTCCAGCGTATTTCGTTGCGCCGTTGTGATCGTAGTCACCAAGTGGCAACTGCCTACACAGTTGGGAACATTGTCATGATTGCTTCTATCTCATGTGAAAGGGTGCCCGGTAGGTATCGCTAACGCCCGAGTTGACGCGGTGGCTTCTGACACCGCGTCAAGTAGCAGCCCATCAGCTTGGATTACGCCTAGTTCGCTGCAGCGCTGTCGAAGCCCTATGCCGCAGCCATAATGAAGTTTCGTCAAGAGGAAGGGCCAAGGCAAGGAGTGACGTGCTGAGTGACGAAAAGCATTGCCGCAAACAGACGAATGAGTAGGTGGATCTCTGCGCGCAGGTCGCCCGTGCCGTTCCGTACGCTCATGGGTGCTGCTATCACCGGTGCCCCTGGGGTGGCTGACTTGGTGTGAATCGAGAGCGAGGCGCGATGCTGAATTCCATGCACTTCGTTGCCGTCCCAGCGTGCGTTTGTTGAGCCAAAGTATTATTGCCAAAATCAACCTTTCGTCGCGTTGAAGGACCGAGAGTCCATTTTCATCATCGTTCTCAACATCGCTTTGCCCACAACATGCATAGACACAAAGTCCATTCCCACAAACTCCGGCCTGTACGAGTTTTCCGTCTGCCAGCCAAACGCTTCTCGCGACATCGATCGTGTGGGAGTGCGTCGACTGGCTCGTTTGTTGGGTCGTCGCTGGACGCTGTGCAGAGCTCATCGAAGGCGACGAAGGCGGCCCGATCAAGGAAGTGGTGTCCATACCCGTGGACACACGACTGCGTGCCTTCATGCGCTACGACTCTTTCCAGATGAATCTTGCATGGTGGATGCCTCGACAAATGCGAATTGTTCCATCCTGCCCATAGGGTCATGTCTGTGCAGGCAGGATGAGTCTTGTGTCTGCGATGGCGCACCTCGACGGCGGGCCCAGTGTTTTCGATGCCGGCGCATCACGTACATGCGCCGATCATGACGCTGCACGTGGGGAATTGCAGTTTGCGGACCACGTGCACGACCCGAACGTTGTATCTAGGACAACGACGTTTGACGTTTACGGGAAACGAGCGCTGATGGGTGCGGGGACACACCCTCCTGAGCGCCATTGTCTGCGTTGCCCAGTCGTCGTTGTCGTCGAGCGGTGTCCGATTTTTTGTCCAGAGCGAGTTCGCGCTGGTGCAACGAGGCAATGCGAACAGCACTGTGAACCCTCCTCTGGATCGATGCTACATCTTGCGGTCGCATGGCTTCCGATCCGCGTTTGTACAGGCATTCCTGGGGCCAGTATCCGTCGGGATTGGCCTTGTCTTCGGGAGTCGTTAGCGGCTTGGATCGTTTGCGCTGGCGCGATACGTGCGACGGAATCGCGGCGAGGAGTTGGTGTGTACGCCCGGCGGCATCTTGCATCGAGTGGACGTCGTGGTCTATGTACGGATTAAAAATGTACCTACTCCGTCGCGGTGCACATGCCGTCGTGAGGAAACCGGAGCATCGACGACCAGACAACGTACCCGCCGTTGATGTGGAGCAGCACCGACTTGGCATCGGCCAGTGGCATCCACTGCGCAAGGCCGCCTACGATCAGAGATGACGACGACATGGCGGTCAAACACGGCCACAACCAACACGTCGTTCTCTCTCTCTTGAACACACTCACGGCGCACCAAAAATAGTGCGCTCGTGTGTCATGGCTTATGTTGAAGCCCATGCACACCAACGAAAAACGACACATCGACAGGGTGCTCCAACTTGCATCAACAGACGCGCGACGTTCGTACCGCAGATCGTGTCGGGGTGCTGGGCCATGTCGCCAGGCATCGCGGCGGCGGTGTTGGCCCACGGCGAAAACGAGTACGGCACGTGGGCCAATTCAAACGCAAGCCAAAACAATTCCTTGTCGCCGTACGAAAACTCAAGTTGATAGCGCGTGACCAGGACCAAGTGCAACAAAACGTCGATCGCGAGCGGCGCGATCGCTTTGTTGATAACCACAATCGACGAGTCTTGTTCGTGCGCCGAGTGGCCATTCCATGCGAGCGTGCTTTGGAGGTACTCGGACGGCTGCTTCACCAGCCCAAAGCGAGCGTAATCGAACGTTTCAATCAGCGCATGGAGGTTTTGCCTATCCCGGAAACAACGATGGGACGGTCTGCCGTCGTCGTTGGCGAAAAAACAACAGATAACAACGCAGCCCATGTTGCAGACGAAAACAGGAAAGAGCGCGATGGCAAAACCAGCACCGACACCACACTAGAGATGCCTGCAACTGGACGAGAAACTCTCGGCAAACGATTCCAACACGTGATGCACGAAAGCACGGTCACTTTGACCGCTCGTCCACTCGACTGCGCACTTCCAGCGTCAAGTTTGAAAAAAAATGATACGTTGAAGTGACTCCTGGACGCCATTTTCATGACACGGATTCGATGTCGCACATGTCCAAACTCCCCACGTCATTTTGCAATCAAACAAATACATCCAAAGCAGCACGTCATTTAGATACGACATGGAGGCATCCACCATGTGGATCGACACGTACATGCGCTGGAAGCGGTGGATCGACCGGCTGTTCAAGTACTCGGCCTTGGCGACTTCCCTGTCGAAGAAGAATATCGTTCCGGTTTTCTTGTAGCTACAGCACGAGACACCATGGGCAATCCCGACCACGAAACTCCATTCGATGACAGTCGTACCCAGGGACTTGCCACAGCTGACTCGGGTCGTGGAAGAGGAGGTCGTCGGCATCGAGCAGGATGACCTCGACCAGTCGGGTGTGGACGAGAGCCAATGGCTTCAACCAGAAGCTTCGGAAGTCGCTTACCTTGGACGTGGAAAGGCGACCAGACGCAACAAAGTCCTTGCACACGTCGACGATTTCCAGATGCGCGTCAATCATGTACAGGATGCGGTACGATGCGGCCGAGAGTTCACCGTTGCAATGGTACATTTGAATCAACTCGGTATTGCCGAGCGCGCGAAGCTCGAGCACCAACGAAGCAGCCATCGGGATCATTGCGTCGAACACACACACGATGATGCCGCGACGAATGGACGAAAAGTCCTTGTACCGCTCGACCTGATAGATCCACTGGTCTTGGCTAATCGTCCGATACACGTCGCTGCCGTCCTTCATCGCGGCAATCGACGAGTTGAGCACGTATATGTACACAACAAACAAGCAAACGATGCACATCATCATCAGCGGCATCGCGCGCGACCGCGGCAAGGACCTCTCCGTCCCATGCCGGGACATCGACTTGGCAATGGCGCTGGCCGGCGCGGGTAGGAAATACTGTGAATCATGTGCATAAAATAGTGTGAATTCGACCACACACTCTTTAAATAGTGTGAAGTTGAACGGGGCGAACGTCGTTGAATTCGTACAGCCGAGGTGGAGCAACCACCTACACGGTTGCTCTGCCAGGCTTGAGCAACGCCTGTGAATGAAGGGCTACCAGCTTTGATAGTGGCGGGTTCTACGGGGCTCGCGAAAGCGCGATGTCTCATCAATTCATGGTGTCCCTCGATCCTCGGTGGCGCCAATTCGGATTTATTTGCTACAACCGCACACCACATATTGCACATATGGGTTGGTAAAATTGACGGATACCAGGAAATTCAATACTTGAACTTTAGTATTCGATTGTGGAATGAAAACTATCGGAATTGGCCGAAACTCGCGTGGTGTGATATGTTGCGATATTTCGAGCGCAACCATGCAGTCAATTAGGTATGGCGTACGACAGTCGAGCCGTCTGCAACTCGAGTGCGTGTACGTGTTTAACGTGGGGATGTGAAGGTGCCGAGACAGCGAAGGCGCGATCGAGGGCGAGCGCGCGGCCGAACCGCTCGGTATGACGGGAGCACGAGAAAACGTCCCAGTGTTCTCGTATCGTTGTGGGAGCACGGTGGCAGATTCGAAACACGCGCGGAATGTCCTTTCCAACTGTCACGACAATTCTCAGCACCCGATGGCGTCATGACGGTGCCTTGGCCGCTACTGAAGGATGCTCGTTGGACTCGAGGTTGGCAAGTCGAGCTAGTTGCCACCCATCCTGGCGCCCCATGATGCCATCAGCCCATCCATCGTGTGCCCGAGCCCCAACATCTACTGTAGCGAGACCCCCCCCCCGGAACGTTGCTGAAGTTTTGCTGGTGATAAAAAAGATCGACCGTGAAACTGGGCGCAACAAAAATATCAGGATAAGGTAAAAAAATATCAGGATCACACGTTTGTACTGGGCGATGGTCAATGGCGCGCAGGACCAAACTCCGGCGGAGATGCTGCCACGAGCAACGCACGCTGCATGTCACGGAGACATGCGGGACAAGATTCGCTCATGTATCATCACGGTTGACTTGAATGTATCCACCGATATCGATTGTGTGTCGGTCGGTGGTTGCGTTGGGTGGGGGTGGGTGTCAAAGAACCGACTGGTCGGTGGTACCTTGAAGGGACTTCTGGGAAAAACTTTTATTCCAGCTACTCTCGCATCTGAGAAATCGCGCAATTCACGGATCTCCGAAGGGGCGAGGTGTTTCTCCCAGGGAAGAGGGGGCAGAACGTGTGTTTTCGAACGGGACAAACGTGTGATTTCCCTGCCTGCTGGTGGTGCCAGGAGGAGCGGAGGATCTAGCAATCATTCGACAAATTCCTCGGTAGCCACCACATGAAGAAGCAGTCCTCGGCCGCGTCGACGTCTTCGAATGGCGCGGGCAGTAGTCGGTTCCCGCTGACGACGTTGACGTTGGCACAGGAAAAGCAGTTCCGTGTCCAAGCGTCCGCGCTTCTCACCAAGTCGATCCAAGATTGCGAACGTACGCTAGCCGACATCGACGGCCAGTGGAAGTTTGTCCGACTGCACCAAGGACTCAAAGTGTACAAAGCCAAATCGCCGAATGCGCCGTCTGAGCTCATGGTGACGGGCATCGTTCGCGGTTCGCTCCACGACGTGATGAGCTGCATGTACGCAGATAACAGCTTTCAGTTCCGTGTGAACTCGGCGCTCCTCATGCCCAAGGAACACCTCGATTGTGAAGTTCTGCACGCGATCAACACCAAAGACAACACGCATCCGTTTCGATTCAACGGAATCAAGTGGTGTGCGACCAAGTGGCCGGGAGGCACCATGAACAAGACCCGCGACATGTGCTTCTTCGAGACGACCGGCATCACCCAAGCGCGGGACAACCAAGGACAGCTTCTTGAGTACGGCTACAGCATCATGGAATCGATTGAACTGGCACAGTGCCCACATCTCGACATGTACTCAATCGTGCGCGCGAAGATGAGTGTGCGCCATCTCTTCCGCGAACTTCCTTTGGGCTGCACCATGGTCGTTACCCATTGCACCGTTGACCCATCGGGCATCCTTCCCACGTGGATGACGGACTTCAGTACATTGCCACATTTACTATCGATATCCCGTGCTGTCGAAGTCTCTGAATCCATTCGGCTGTCAAAGGCGTTGCTGGACCAGGTCAACTCGTCGCCCAACGCAAGCTCGGCGAGCTGGACAAACCGACTATCTCTCTTCAACCGTGGCTCGGAATGCGCCCTCTGTGAGAACGGCAGCCAGTTCAAGCTGGAAAAGAAGCGCATCGTCGAAGCAGTTGGGGCTGGTGTGAAAACCGCTGCCAAGTACTTTTGCCCCGTGTGCTTGGCGGCTAGCCTTCGACAGGGCGTGAACGACTCGTCCCCCGTCGGCCCAGACCTTACCAACTTTTTGCTCCAACAACAACAGGCTCCTTCGTCGTACTCGATGGTGAGCAAACCGTCAAGCGCCACCATTTACAGCGACGACTTGTCGGAAGACATGTCCGAGTTGTCGTCGATTTACGAAGAGTTGGCGCCCCTGCCGCCGCCGATTTTGGACTTTGACGACGATGAAGCAGAAGAATCCGTGTACAGTGGCCTGGATTTCGACTACCGTTCGACGTGTCTGTCCGAAAACTCGACGTCGTTTAGCACCGAGAGCAGCGGCGCCGTGTTGTACGAACACGCCAGTCCCAGCCACTCGCACTACTCGATGCTCTCGAACAGCGTGAGGCTGTACGATAGCAGCCCCCGAAGCAGCAACAACAGCAGCAACGGCAGCAGCCCCACCATGTCGCCGTCGATCCTAGCCCAACAGCTCGTGCACCTCAACATGCAAATGGACAACACGGTCGACATCATGCGAAGGAATCGGCTGCGCATGACGAGCCTCCAAGGCACGACCATGTCGACGTGAGACCGATGGGTCGCGGCCACTTATTTACTATAGATTGAATCATTATGAACCACTGACACCCTCTTTCAGCGGATGCACCTCTGACTTGCACGGTCGTCAGTATACGTACAATTTTATCTATTTATACAGGAGTCCGACTTCAATTCTTCTACTGCGCCACCGTCGAAAACCTCTATATATAAATACTTTGCCATGGGGCGACAATATCCTGTTATACAGTGCATGATAAATAACAAGGCATCGCTTGTCGTTCGTGTCATTCTGGGTGCCTGCGACGCACGACCTTGTTTTCATGAGACACGCGCAGTCCAAGATGAAACATACCAGTCGTGCATCCATCCGCGCCAGAGGGGTACAGCTGAGTTGTCGTTTCGCGCGGTCTCGGTGCGAAAGACAGGGTGCTGCTCGTTGAGAACGACGCCGAGAGTGTCGCTCGAATTCAATCCCGATTATATTGCGACTTCATACAATTCTCAAGACGATTCGCACGACAGGCCGGAAAATAAAACACCAGCATGTCATACTGTACTGGCCGCTTCGTGGTGTTGTGCGGATGATGTCCGCCAGTGGACTGACGTGGTTTCGCCGCCCTTGGCCCACCGTTCCTCCTTGATCAGCGCCGTGTTGACACGCCGTGCTTATGCAAGGGTTGACGGACATGTACTACTAGGGTCGCCCTCCGAGTCACGAGCGCGTGTTTGTTACAATGCACTGAGATTCACTATGGTGAGTGGTTGGGCCAAGCGGAGCGACCTGGGTGAATCTTCAACGTGTCGGCCGTGCTTGCGCCCGTGGAACTCAAACGAGAGACGGACATGCCGCCCGCCGACATCGTCGACTTGTAACTTCATGAACCTTGCGCGACCGAGCTCGCTGACACGTCAAAAGGGAGCTGGTGGCCAAGGGGCCTCGCGCGTGTGGTGTATGTGTCCATGGGATGCCTGTGAAATGCACGTCGACGCGCCAGCGCTGGCGCAAGGAGAAGCAGTGCGAAAGTGCGGTTGCGCGTGCCGTCGTCGTGCCACCTGGCGTGCGTCTGTGACGGCGCGCTGCGCCGCCAGGTTGTGTGTTTGTATCAAATTGATTCGAACCGCAGGTTCATTTCGAGAAACTCGACCGATCAGCCCGCGATCGTCCGACGTAGTGGCCACGCTGGTGGGCGCGTCGGGTCTGCCGTCTCGGCGGCTCCGCACGCAGTACCAGCGGCGGGGTCGACCCCCCCGCCCCGACACGCCCTTGCATCTCTATGTGCCAGGATCGTCAGCATTTCGTTTCTTTGCAATTTTGCATCACACGATCGGTACATGGGAAAAACACCAGTGGCGATGGGGACAAACCCGGCCATGCCTTCCGCCAATCAAGTGGCGTTATTCGAAGGATCGTGCCACGGGCGGTGGCCCCGAGCACCACATGGTCCACGCGGCGAGGAGGAGGAGGTCGTGGCGATCGCGACAGCGAGCTCGTGCATGTGACTCATCTCTGAAAGCACCTACTTGCGTGGAGACGTGATGCTGTGATGGCGCCCGTCCGACTACGGTGCTTGCGCTGATAAAGCCGTCAAGAATGAAGCGGACTGTCTACGCCGAGGATGGCCACGAGGGCCGGTCATCGTTGCAGCACGAGCGACATTTTATCATCAAGTTGGTGTGCCCCGAATCTCGAGCGCCCTTTCTTGATTTCGACATTCTCGATTCATCCGTGCACATCGAGTCGCATGAAGCGACACACCCCCACAATGCGACGCCTGTCGTCGTCGACACGATTTCCTCCATGCCATTTGACCGCTGACGAAGAAGCTCAGTACGGCGCTTTGAGCCAAAAGCTCCTCGGGCGTGCGATTGCTGAATGCGAGACCACGCTGAGCGATATGGGCACCCACTGGAAGTGTGTGCGAACGGTGCCAGTCGCATCAAGCAGTCTCAAGGTGTACAAATCGACCCACCCACCGCAGTCCCTGCATTCAACGGGTGCGGCTCAAGTCATGGCGACAGGTATTATCTCGGGGACAATGGAAGACGTGATGACATGCCTGTGTGCCGACAACAGCTTTGCATTCCGCATGAACTCAGCGCTCCTCATGCCCAAGGAGCACGTGGATTGCGAAGTTCTCCACGCGATTCTCGAGTCTAGTATGTCTCCAACTAGTACATCGAGTACTACTAGTGACAAGTACCGCTTCCTCGGGTTGAAATGGGCGGCGACGAAATGGCCATCGCTGACCAAGCACCGCGACATGTGCTACATGGAGTCCGCGGGCGTCACCCGTACCACTGATGCACAAGGACATGTCGTGGAGTACGGGTACTGCCTCATGGAGTCCATTGACTTGCCGGCGATCTGTCCCCCGCTCGACCAATTCTCGATCAAGCGCATCAAGGTGTCATTGCGCCATGTCTTTCGAACCCTGCCCATCGGGTGCACATTGGTCATGTCCCACTGCTCCATCGACCTGGGAAGTCAATCGTCTCCGTCGTCGATATGGTTGCCTCCAGACTTGACAACGTTCCCGCAACTTGTGAGCATCGCAGGCGCTGCCGACGTGGCGGCCTCCATTCGCCTCTCGAACGCGCTACTTCTTCACACGACCTCTTCCGACACATCCTCAACATGGAACGTACCTGAGTTCCTTCGAAAAGCCCCACGAACGTGCGCGCTGTGCCTCGCCAAGATGGACCGCCTGGAGAAACACCGTGTCGTTCACTTGGTGGGGGCTTCCGGGATAAAGATCGTGAGTCGATTTTTCTGTCCGTCGTGCAAGAATGCACCCGTCGCGTCCCCGCTCGACCTCATGCCATCGACGCCACGGACGTGTCCTGGAGTCGAACGGTCGCGTCCAGCACCAACGGCGCCATTGCCACCTTTCTCGACCCAGTTGAAACAGAAACTTGCAGCACGCGGGCCCGAACACGCGATTCCTCTGGATATGAACGCCGTACCATCGACTCCTCGAGTTCGTCCCCATATTTCTGACGTTGCTCGATCAAGCGTTGCCGGCAACGTTGACATGACGTTTTTGGATCAATTGGTCCGATTGTCGCAGTTGGATGTGCTGTCCCATCACGATCAGTTTTCGATGTGGCGCAGCAGCGACTTGTCCGTGGATGAATTGGAGTTCTCAAGCCGAGCCGCTGGCGAAAACGCCAAAGCCACTTTTTCTGCGGCGCAAGCCAACAACACGTGCTCAAGCGGGTCGACTGTGCCAACCTCCATCGCGTCGAAGCTGCATTTGCCAATCCTCGACTTTGATGACGAGGACGACGACGACGACGATGCAGAGAGCGTTTATAGCGCCCTCGATATCAGCGTCCGCGAGTTGGTGCCGGTCAGTCCCCCGCCAACGTCGCCGCCCTCTTCACAAACCACATGCTCACGGTCACAGGAGCAGCCCGCCGCCGCGTACCATCCAGTTGCCCACAAACTCATGCAGCTGAATATTCAAATGCAACACACGATGAATGTTCTCCGACAGAACCAAAGCCGCGCGGACTTGTTGCAGCGAGACTTGGAGTATGCGGCGTAGGTACACCGCGTCCTTCGGTTCGTTAGTTTCAAGTCTTCTAAAGTATGATCCCTTATTTTGCACGACGAGTTTACGTAAGTTGATGTAAGTGACTCGAATCGCAACGCCCCACACGCACTTCACACCTACGAGGAGCGAGCGTACAGCCTCCCCACGAGGAACATCACTAGAACTTCCATACTCGTTCGCCTGGCAAGCCGAACGTGCCGTCGAAGCCGTCTACACTCTTTCAAGATGGGGGCTGGTCTTGTCCCATCATGGTTGCTTCAAGGGCATTTGACAAATGTGAGATATTCGGCGACCTTTCGTCACCATGTCTTGTCCAATCAGAATCGGGCTGGTTGGATCAAGATTAGAGAGATATCAAACAAATATTCATTTTCATAAATTCCAGTTTATACAGTGTATTCTTTTTTACGGCCTTGTCGAAATCTTCCGACAGAACGGTGAGGATGGCGGCAACAGCAGCGTCAAAGAGGCACATAACGCAGGAAACATTCAACGAATGCGTGCGTGAAAACATGGAGGAGTTTGACATGTCCGAGGAAGATGCAATTGCTGACGCCGTCACCCAGTTTGAGTCCCAGGGGGTGGACCTGAGTACTGTTGTCAAAGGTCTCGACGTTGTGCACCCTGTCTTGACGGCGTTGCACGCGATCGAGGCCGACGAGTCTGACGACGAGATCAGCCTCCAAGGACATTTGAAAACCCTGCAGGAACAATTTAACGATGCTCTGGTCAGCGACGGTGCCAAGGAACTGGCTGGACGGTCCAATGGCCCGGTGATCTTGGTGCAACGATTGCCTGCAGTTCTCGAAGTTGACACGCGCATCATGTTATTTACCACGATTCAATGCATGGTATCGCACATGCTGTCGTCTGCAATATATCTCATCGTTTGGATTAGGTTGCTGGAAATCGAGTCAATCAATCTCTTGTCGGGGACGCCGGAATTGCTACCACCTTCGATCTCGGGGTGCTGTCGTCGCACGTCGAGACACAGACAGCTGCGTTATTGTGCTTGAAAAGCACTTGCGCTCGACATGAGGTAAACAAGAAGCGACTGGCATCCCATGGCATCGTCGCGAGACTCCTTGTGCTCTTCCGCGAACGCTCCACGATCTCGGATGGAAGCACAGCGGCATCATCAACTAAGGACATTGCAGACGTCATTCGCGTCCTCACCGTGCATGACGACGTGTATGCATGCATGAAACCTCTCGCCCGAACGCTGCGACATTTCATGAGAATTCCATAGGGAGTCTATGTTTTCGCAAACGCACGACATCATCAAGCAATTTGTGGAGCATGCCATTATCGACGCGGTCATGCCCTTCCTCCAGGACAAATCAAGGGACCCTGACACGTTATCGTCGTGGCTCGCCGTGGTTAAGCAACTCGCCATCACAGAAGACACTTGCCGCAAACTTGTGACCGCGGGCATCCTTGACCTCCTCCCGACCTTCCAACAACATGCACAGGTAACCTCGTCCATGCATTGGCCTGCCATTTGTGTTTTGTTGGTGTAACATCATGCAATTCCGGTGGTCTTAGCTCTTGAGTGCGGCTGTACCTGACAACTTCAGATTGTGTTTTGAGCCGTTCATCTTGGCTCACTGCCAGCCGCATCCTTTCGTCAATAACCCGACTCTTGAACATCTTGGACATAGCATCGAGCGCTGCTATCACGTTGCCTGGGCTTGCTGCGCAATTTGGCGGCGGTCGATGAGTACAAGACGGTCGTGACCACGTCGTGTCTGCCGTGGATTTTGTCGATTATGCAGCAGCATCCAAAGGAAGCGTACCTCCAGACTCTCGGGTGTGCCACGATCGCCGCCATTTGTTTGCGGTCGCCGCCAAATTGCGAACGGGCCGCGGGGTTGCAAGCGCATTGCGTCGTCGGCATCGCCATGCACAGCTTTCCGTCGAACGTTGCGCTCTTGCGGTGAGTGATCCAGCCATGACTTGCCATTGATACTGGACGACACCATAGCCAAGCGAGCTTGGCGATTCGGAACATGGTCGTGCGCAACGAAGCCCTGCGGCCGATTATTTTGGAAGACCCGCATGTGGAGTCGCAACTGCGACTCGCGATGCCCATAAGAGGATGCGGAGACGAAGCGTATGCGGCCCTCAGAGACCTCGGCGCCGACGTGCCCCTAGCAAGCATCGGCCAAGCCCAGTCGGCGAACTTCAATCCTGTCATGGAGTCCTCCAACCAGCTCGTGGGGCGTATTCAAGAAAACGCGACTGCTCCTTTCGGCGAGTTCGATTAGAGTTTCGAGATGCAGATTTGAGGACGAAAGCCATACTAGCATTGCTCAAGGCACAAGGCCGTAACGACACTGGAAAGAGCAAAATATGTCGTTGTTTGGGAGGGGATGTCACCTACGCCAACGCAACCCAGCTCTGTTCGACGATTTCTCGCACACGGCGGTTGTACTCTCGTCTATTTTCCTGGAATAGGCGCGCGGCTTCGGAATTCGCGGGGGAGTTTGGATTCGGGTCGCACAGCAGCGACTGGATCGACGTCAGGATGGCCGAGATGTCGTAGATAGGACTCCACTGGTTCTGCAGGATGTCGAGACAGATCTGCCCGTCGTTGTAAATGTTGGGATGGAACATCTTGGTCACAAACTTGACGGACGGCGCTTTGTTTGGGTAGTCTTCGCTAAACTCGAGGAGGAGGTTGAACGTGCCGCCTTCCCACGGCGTGTCGTCTGGACCGAAGATCACGGCCTGCCACACCATGATGTTGTTGTCTAATGGAGCTCCGCTGACTCCAGACGGCGGATCGTTCTGCAGTTTGCGGAAATCGCGCATTAATCGACGACGGGCGGCCGTGGACATGGTTTCGTCGATGCCTCTGCGCCAGTCTCTCAATGGCACCCGCTTTATCCCACACGACCACAGAAGGAGGAGTGATGTCAGCCACGACGACAGAATTTAAATAGTGTATACATTCTTCACACAAAATATACTATTTTGTATAAAATATACTATTTTATGTGAGGAATCACAAACTCCAAGAGTAGATACCACACTATATAAATGGTTGTGTAGGTATATAGTGTTATTTGGAAAACATTATTTGTCAGGTTTGGATTTGCATGGAATATATCAATGCCATGTCATCTCCCCGTCGTTTTAATATATTCTAGAAGCGTCGGAACCGAATTCGGTGGAAGGGCAACGTATCTGCCAACTCTCTCTGGCGCGACTCCGCAATCGATGTTCCCTGGCAAGTTGGCTGTACCTCACCAACACAACGTTGGGACGACGTGGAGGGATAATGCTTGTCTATGCGCGGCATCCAAGCGCGACACACTGCGGAGCTACGTCCCAACAGATATACACGTGAACCTGTTCTGAGACCCATGAACATCGCTCTCCAACTTAGACGCCCGTGTTCTGGGCCTCACTTTGCTTGATTAGCAGCCTGCCAAGTCCCTGAGCATGACGTGGCGGTGGCTCGACGGAAGACGCTGTCCTCTAGTTGCGAGAGACCACCCTCAGCCTATTTTCCTCGAGAATCAGTGATGGTAAGTCAATCAGTGAGATACGATTGGCTTAAATAGAATCGAAACGTCGCCTATTTCAGCCAATCCCAATAGACCCTCCTGCAAGGTGTGGTGGTTGCATGATGTCAGAAATTGCGAACCGTTGTGAGGCAGCATGTTGTGATCCGTTCCGATTCCCCATTGCCCACGATGGTGCATGAGAGTCTGGTCTTACGTAGCCAACACACCCATACATAAAGTTCCTGTGTGTTTGTGATGGATACTTGGCACCGACCTCGAGAGCGACTCTGCCACGAGGTGTTTTTTCAGCACCACTCGGCACAGAATCCACAAGTGGAATCCATCGAGTTCCACGGAGCGGACAGCGTCCGTCCATGCTCCTTGACCGATTCAAATCTGCCACATAGTCGTCGTCGTGGGCTGCACGAGCATCACCAAGTAGCGGCACAGCTTGTGCCTCGCGACGTCGCAATGTCGAATTGTGCTTGTGTCCTTTCGTCACCGGATATTTATCCGGACACCCAACCAGCATTCTCGGCATCGAAATCCTTTGTTGGGATGCAAGGACAAGATTCGCCGTCGCGCGATTCCATGCCGGCCGATGAAGCCGCCGCATTGAAGGAAAAGTTCCAGCAGCTGTACATGGAGCTTGTAGCGACGGGGTTAAATCCAAACGACGCCGTTGCTGAAGCGTTGACACGTTTGCACTCGTCTACCTCCGGCGCGTCCTTTACACAAGGCCCAACACTTCATGCGCAACCATCGCAACCACCACCACTATCAGCACCTTCGATACCAAACACATCAAATACACCAAGTAAAGTTGTTGCGCCAGTAGTGGTCACTCCTGTCACAAGCCCCACCCCATCGCTATCGACTGCGCTGACCCTGGCCCTCCTTCAGGCGAACGCATTGCCCCTTCCGAGCATGCAATCGCTCGTGTACGACACGTTCTCCCACTCGGAGCACTTGAACATATCTTGCTTTCCGGGTCATTCTCGTCAAGAAATCCAAGAGGGCCTGGCGATGCTTGTGTCCCATCCGGTCCTTGCAAACACGATGGGGAACGCCCTTCAATCGTGGGTGAATCAGCCGTGGACAAACAGCAAAAAGTGGACCGAATCGTCGGATTTGCATCAATTTTGGGTCATTCTCGAGCATCCGCTGCTGTTTGACCCCGAGTATCGGCAAGTTGTCGGCGGGATGGCGAAGCTCATGTATTATTTGGACGATTCAACGAAAGAGATAGTTCGAGCGCGGTGGGCAAGCTACCCCATCGACGACCTCCATCGATTGCTGGACGTGTTTCACCAGTACATCACGCTTTCGTTGGTCGGGTCCGAGCTCAAGATGGACAAGTTGTTTGCTGTGTGCAGCTTGATGGGGCTTTTGCACGTCATCAACGAAACAAGCCGTAAATTCTGCGATTTCACGGCATTTTACAACGACGCGGTCAACTCGGAACTCAATCTGCTGACGGATTATGCCAAATCCGCAATCTACTTGAAGCACTCGAGTGTCGCCGGCCCAGCCCACGAGAACCGTCCGTTGAGCGACCTCAGTTTTTGCGACTTTCCATTCGTGCTGGACCCGGCATCCAAGAGCCTCGTGCTGCACTTTGATTCCGAGTATCAGCAACGCATCACGGTGCAGGACTCGATTGCGAGCACCCCAAGCTTGGACGGATTGATGCCGTACCTCGTGCTGCGCGTCCGACGCGAGTTTGTTGTGCTAGATGCGCTCCAGCAGCTTGTTCAAGCTTCTTCCGACCAGCTCAAGAAACCCCTTAAAGTCAAGTTTCTTGGTATGGCAGAGAATGGAATGGTCGAAGTGGACAGATACAAACGACGATGGGTCGATGACTAGGCGAAGAAGGGGTCGACGAAGGTGGCGTCAAGAAGGAGTTTTTCCAGGTGCGTTGGCCGAGACACTTCACGTAGGATGGGTTTGTGGGTTTTCTTGAAGAATGCCGTGTACAGGATTTTGTTTTGAGCGCCGTCCAATCGACTATTGCCACACGTTTTCCCCACGGAATATTCATTCCCGTTCATGCGATGTGGTAGATTATCATTCGGGAACTGCTGGATCCGAATTTTGGCATGTTTTTAGCCGACAACGAGACGCACACGCTGTGGTTCAACTGCGACTCGCTCGAGTCGACGATGGAGTTTGAGTTGATTGGGATTCTCCTCGGCTTGGCCATCTACAATGGCGTGATCCTGGAGCTCCATTTTCCCCGCTTGGTGTACAAAAAACTCATGGATCAACCGGTAACACTCGAAGACGTCGAGCTGTGCCAACCTGCATTGGGCAAAGGCCTTCGCCAGATGCTCGAGTTTGACGGGGACGTCGAGGCAGTGTACCAACGCGCGTTCGAAGTGTCTTACGAAGTGTTTGGCGAAGTCAAAACGGTGGACCTCGTCCCGAACGGTACAATCGATCGTTTTTCATCCGCCAAAATTGCAATGTGTTTTTTCAGCCGCCGACGATGGAGGCAAGTCGGTTTGGATCGCATCGTGTCATGGTGATTTGTCCATGCCATTTTTTCGTTGGAGTGTGTCAGATTTTGTTGTCGAGGGTGGCGACGATGGATTGCACGGGTGTGCTACCTTGGCTTTGTGCGTCTCGGTACTTGATAGAGTCGAGTGGATTCGTTTGGAATATTTCGCTGATTCGAATCGTGCTATTCCTTTGTCGTTTTGTCGTGATATGCAATCGGTCGGGTGTTTCGACAAACCATGTCATTGAACAATAGGTAAGTCCATCAACGTGACGAACGCGAACCGCAAAGATTACGTGGCCAAATATGTGCACTACGTGACCACTGAGGCGGTCGAGCGGCAGTATGGAGCCTTTCACCGTGGATTTCATTTGGTCTGTGGGGGGAGCGCACTGGCATTGTTTCGATATGAAGAGCTGGAGCTCCTCGTGTGTGGCTCGCCCGATTTGGACTTTGACGCGCTCGAAGCGGTCACGCATTACGACGACGGGTACACGGAACAAAGCGACGTGATCAAGTTGGTTTGAAATGTGTGGCATGTGCGTTGGCTGACTTGCGGTGCAGGTATTTTTGGACGGTCGTGCACGGGTTTTCCGTCGAGGAAAAGAAGCAACTGCTCAAGTTTTGCACTGGTAGCGATCGCGTCCCGATCCGAGGGTTGTCCGAAATGACGTTTGTCATCTCGCGCAACGGCCCCGACTCGAACAAGTAAGGTGCATGGTCGACATGGCATGGACGTTGAAGGCAAATGATAGACTGCCCACAGCCCACACTTGCTTCAATCACTTGCTCCTGCCAGAGTACGCGAGCCAAGACAAGTTAAAAGAGCGACTCATGGTCGCAATCAGTCAGGCAGAAGGCTTTGGGTTGCTGTAGTGCGTGTCGCTTGCCGCTGTGGATCGTGGCAGTCCACGAAAAAATCGGTTTTGCCAAACGTCGTCTTTGTATTTCTCGCCGAACGTCGACTAGTGTCGACATCGCAGCAAAAGAAGACGCAATCGTTCGCACGGACGCCGTTGCCCTGGACTTCGACTCGTTGCCATCATGTCCCCACCGCTGACGTCCTCGCGACAATGGCCTGGACATGGCCCAATTCACTTGCCACTCAGCGGCATAGGTCGCAACGTAGCGGTCAAACGCTGTGACTTGCAAAGGCGCAGGCTTGGTCAGGCCAACATGAAAGCGCTCTCTTGGCACCGTGCACTCCATTCAAACGCTGCCTAGTTGGGATTTGGGTCGAATGGATCGCACTCGCGACATGAGCTCCTCCCAAGTGGTCAATTCGAATGCGCTTGTCTCGCCTGGCTATGGCACACCTGGAGCGTGCCAGTTCAAGTTGGACAAGTCCAGTTCGAATTCGCATGGACGTGCCAACGACGAGTCCACCGCTTTGGTCTACGTAAGGGCCATCAACGCCAGGGACGTGGAGCGTTGTAACTTCCATTCAAATCACACAAGTCGAGGAGCGGGGAATGGATACCTTGAGCAGCGCGACAAATACGCTCTTGGGACTCATGGCCGTCCCATGATCTCGCAACGAAGGCACCGACGTCATGATGCCGCACTCCTTCACGGCTGGACGACTCGGCTCGTTCGTTTGGACTGGGTTCGTCGGCGCAGAAATAAACTCTCTGAAAGGAGGAGCCACCGTACCCGACATGTGGAATGCTTCCTTCTTGGCTTGCATGCGGACGTCGCACGGAAAATGGCATCGTGGCTGAACAAAAGTTGCAGAAATGGCTGATGGCTCTACGTTGTGGCTCCGTCCATCGAGTTGCACGGGCCGACAGGGAGTTTGTATGTACCTGCGAGGGTGGATGGACTTCCAGCGTCTCGATGGGACGGCGAGCCATCGGCGGCGCCAGGCGATGTGCCAACATCGACTCCCCTCGGAAGGCGATCGGTTTGACATCCCGCGTCCATTAAAGTTGCAAGTGGTGGCTGACGGATCATGCCGGCATCACCTTGGACAACATCATCGTCCGACGAGTACCCCGAAGATGACGCGCTTTCGCTGCCACTGCTGCTAGCACTGTCGTCGTCGCGATGGCTTGCGCTTGCATCGTTTCTAGAGATTGCGTTCAGATGCTTGGTAAACTCAGCCTCGCGCTGGCTTCGCATGTCCTGGTTGAATTGTCGACACATTGAGCATGGTTATGGCCAGCACGACGTTATACCTGAAAGAGCTTAAAGTTGGTACGATAGTCGTCGAACGGCGAGGTCGTACAGGGAGGAGGTGGAAATGGCTCGTGGGGAATATGACTGGAACCACCAAGCGACGCTCGGTACGGCGACGGGGAAACTTGAGACATCACACCACTCCGTTCAATGTACGACGCGACAAGGTGCTGGACAGCGTCTTCCGTCAATTTGTGCTGCGCGTCGTCATCTCCATACGAGTCAATGTCACGCAGGATCTCAGCAGCCAAGCGCTGAATCGCTTCTTCTGGACTCGGTTGGAGCGCTGCGTCGGCGGTCGCGAAGAACTCGTTCATCGTGTTGGTGTCCTGCACTACCATCGCCATATCTTGGTGTCGAAAGGTCACGAGGGTTATTAAATATCACAGGTTGTCCAAAATATTATGATTTATCATATCCAAAGAGAAATATCAGAGTGCAATAGCTACAGCTATTCGAGCAAGCGCTTTGTCTAAGTCGAGCCCCCGTCAAGACGTTGGCGACCGAGGAGCCTACTCGACGAGTGGCTTGTGCTCCACCTAGTGATGAACAGGTTGGGCTTCCAAGCGGACTTGGGGCTTTGGCAATTCAAGTATGGTGGAGTCGATGTGGTCAACCAACGGATGGATTTGGTGGTGCAGTCTTGAGCGGCGTACGTTCGAGGCACCGGTGGAGATAGACGTCTTTGATGCCGGGGGACTCAAAGGGTGTGTGGTGCCTGTGCGTTGCATGCGCCAACTACAATAAGGGGCAATTCAACCAGGTCCCCTTGCTCGGTTCGTGGCTGGCTGAACAACGATGTGGACAGCCAGTTCGGAGGTGAGCACGGTCGGGGTCATGTGCCTCTCTGCATGCAAGACCCTTCCTCGAAATGAACCACAAGGGCCATCGCACGAACGACAACGCCAGGCCGGCCATCACGGACGACTGGCATGAGGGACGGCTCGCAGGCCACACCAGTCGACCACGACTTGCTCATGCTTGAATGTTTCGACTGCCCACGACGGTGGTCCAGAGCTGCAGGCAGTGCCACGATTTGGACGATTCGCTCATCGTGTTGGGGTTTCGCGTCGTGCAGTTACAATGGTCGTTTGCGTTGGAAACGGTCGACCATTTGCGTGTTCCAAGAGCGCCACCGCGATGCCCATCTCGCATTTTGCAGATGCCATCAAGAAGGTCACGTCGATGTTTGCAGTGCAGTCGCGCATTGGGTCTGTCGTCCACAACGCCGCTTTGCACGAATCCCACACAACGCTCGGGTGGAAGTCGCTTGTCGTGAGTTTGACGCACGTGCCGGGGGCGCAGCATCGCATCGTTGTCAAAGTCGCTGTCCCGCTCAAGATTCGTGCGCAGGTGCTCAAGAAGCAACCTCACTTGGTCGCGATCACGGCCGGTCCGGGCGGGATCTGGATCGTTGAAAAGATCACCGCCGACGGCCGAGAGATTCAGTGCCGGAGCGCCATCCCGTCCGACACTGGCACGTTTGAGTGGGAGGCGGCGCCCGGCGTTGACGGCGACAATATGATTGTGCGCAACGTCACGACCGCTTCCAACGTCCCTGTCGAGGTCGCGCTCACGACGCCGCTCAACTTTGAAAGCCGCTTGACCGTGTTTAGCCTGTTCGATGTCAACACGGTACGTTGCGCGGGCGTCCAATCGGCCATCATCACGGCGGCGTGGGGTTTCTGTGTAGGTGGGCCAAGTGTTTCGCGCCGATGCGCGGTTGGAACTGATGCTTCCCAACATTAGCCTGGCCAACGTCAAGCGCGAGTACGTCGAGAGCTTTCTCAACGCGCTGGGCATTCACGAAGGCCACGCGGTGCAGTTTTTGAACGTTGTCGACAGTGTCGGCGAAATCACACACTCGAGCGAGTATGTCGAAAACGCGCTGCAGAGCGACACGCACATGGACTACCGGCTGTACTATCGCATCCGGGCCATCTTGACAGGCCAGTTTGTCCTGCACGCGTTCCCGTTTGACCAGCAAGAGATGACCATTCCGATTCAACTGCATCTGCCCAAGGAACGCGCTGTCCTTGCCGTGAATTACCGCAACCCGAGCATTTTCCAAGTGACCAACTTCCAGTTGTCAAACGTGTTTCACGTGGCGACGGGCAACTACGTGGTCGCGACCGCGTTTTTCAGCGACATCAACGAAAGCACGACGGCTAAGATTTACCCGCGCATGAACTTTTCCATCATCTTGCAGCGCCGCGGCGGGTACTACATCACGCACATTGTGATTCCGGTGACGCTGATCACGTACATGGGGTTTCTGAGCTTTTGTTTGGACAACGAAGGCAAGACGATCGAAACGGGCGAGCGCCTCTTGATCTCGCTCACGATGGTCTTGACGGCCGTCACGTACAAGTTTGTCGTAGCCGGCGCGATCCCGCAAATCTCGTACCTGACCATGCTCGACCACTACGTCACGTTTAGCTTTTACTACGTGTGCGCGATCTCGGTCGCGAATGCATTTGTCACGATGGGCCACGAAGACGAGCACGCGGCGTTCCACGTGATGGTCATCATGGCGGCCGTGTACACGACGTACAATATTCTGTGGGCCGTGTACTTTTGGTTGTGGATTCGGCGGCGCGACCGCGCCAACGAGGCGATGCTAAATTATCACCGGGTACGTGTGTCGAGCTTAGGCCAAGCACAATGGACGACGACGACTCGCGCGTGTAGGTGCGGCTGATGGTGACCAAGACGTTTCCGAATTCGAAAGCCGGGTTCCAAGGACGCATGTTTGCCGAAATGATGAGGGAACTTGGCATCAACGAAGCCCCCGTCAATGCGCACGCCGCGCCCCACAAAAAAGATCCCCCCATGGACCACAAAGTGAGCATCTTGCACCCGACACATCACGCGATCAAGAAAATTCACCACTCGATCAAACACAACATTTCAGGACCGCTCGAAGGCCATTTACATGGATAATTTTGGAATACATGGGAGGCCGACCCCACCTCCCATCCATGGGTTGTTTTGTCGTCGGGACGGAACTTGGTGGCATGTTGTGGCGGCGCCGTCCGCAACCATGTTGCGCCATCGACAAGAACAATCGCCCCAGCCACGGCATGACGCTGCCAATTTCGATCGTTGCGACCTTGGACAGAGGAGGCAACGACGCATGCAATCTCGCATGACACTTGGATAAACCAACGGCCTCGTCCGGGAGACTAGGAGAGATGGGTCTGCGGACGACGTGTGGTTCCCCCTTGAGCAGTTCCTCGCGCTCGATGAAAGCCCAGGCCAGTGTCTGCTTGGACTGATCAAGGGAGATTGGTTGCAAGTCAAGGGGTACCCCGTGTTCCTCTACCTCACTTGCGCAACATTCTTGTGAGAGATGGCGTGTTGGATGGCCTCCATTTGGCCGATGCTGAGCTGCGCCAGGGCGACGACTCGGTGCACAATGTTTTCACACGTTGGCATGTCGACACAGTCGTGGAAATTCGCCCTGCCACACGCCAATTCAAGGCGTTGTGGCGAACGGCTCCAAGAGCACTCGGTATTTGACCCTGTTCTGCAGCGCTAGATTCGCTTGGGCTGACTTGTAGGCAGTCCATGGACAGTGCCACAGCCTCTTGCGCGAAAGACCGCATTGAACGGAATGGTCACACAGCCGAAGGAGCGCATTCGACCCGCTCGCTGCGCAAGAACTTTGCGTCCTGCGATATTTCATACGTGGCTGAGACGATGCCCGTCTCGAATCCAGTGAACGATGCTCCCAGGGTACGCCTGCCGAGGTTGCTCTCGT